GGGGTAAGAATTGGACGATCGGAGGCAAGTGAATGGGGTTGAAGGAGAGAAAGTTTTGTTAGTGTGCGCGAAGGAGGGGATGAATGACTTGTTGTTCTAGACACTCGGGCGAGGCGGGCGCTGGAGAGCCAGTCACTGGGAGCCAATTTGACGGTGCCTACCTCTAATATGGGACCCTGATGAGGCAGGGAGCCTCTGAGCAGGTACTTCGCTAGGCTGCTGCAAGCCCGCCGGCACATACAGTGGGCACGGCTAGGCCAGGCTATTCCTCACCTGACGCGAATTCGAGGCAAACAAAGACTCTGCGTGCGTGCATACACTGCCCTGCTGACGGCCTGGATATCGTCAGCAGCACGGCGCCAGTCACGTCACACAGGCGCTCGCCGGTCCGCCAAAAATTTCCTCTGTTTGTTTACCAGCCGGCTGCGCCCATCGGATTGGGTGTTGGAGGCTCCATGGACATTGGATTACTTGACTGCCCCCTGGCCAATTAACGCGCTCCACGGTAAATCGGCCTGCGTCTGAGCCCCACTGAAATCACATCCCCAGATTGCACTGACGATATCTAGGTGCTGTTCCAGGGGGTCTCGGGGCTAGTTTAAGCCTTCGGCGGTGCCAGTCTCCTGGTGAACCCCTGAAGCCTCCACCGCGGAATTTCCTCGTCATCACATATGAGATATCACCGCGAATTACCTACCCAGTTGAACGGATCTGACCAGCAGGAAATGGTAGTGGATTACCCGTGAAAAAGCAACGCCAGCCATGACGTGGGCGAGGCATTGAGTGACGCCGCCCTGCGCAGTCAGAAATTTTCTTCACTTTATTGGTTTCGTCACCCCCTAGACAATGCCGGGTGCCTCATTCCATCTACCTCCAAGGCATATCGTCTCTTGTTTCGTCTTGCTTCCTCTGATCTTCCCCTGATGTCTCAGCAGCATTGACACAGCGCTTGGCTATCCAGTTGAGCCAAGAATAGACCTGACGTTGATATTCGGTTGAGTTATACGTTTACATCAGCGTGCATCGATGAAAGTACCAAGTATCCATCGTCATTACTCGGGAGGAATAACCGAAGCCCAGCCGCGCTGTCGAAGCCAAGGCAACAAGTGACAACAGGCTGCCGCCCGGCAAATTTCGAAACATGCAGAATTGTCCAAGTGCTAGCGTGCAATAGTGTGGCATTTCTAGCCGCCAATCATTCATGTTTCGAGTTGAGTCACGACTGGAATGAGCTGTTTCACGATCGTAGACAACACCAGGGTCGCTAGTTCCATATACCGCTGGTGGTGTTGCTAATATAGCGGACCGACTGACTGGGATATCTCGCAGAAATGACTTACTTTCGAGGCGAGGTCCACAGGTCAGGGAGCCAACGACTAGATCGGGAAGCGACCATGTTCGTTTTTACCCGACCTGGGCGATCCGGGTAGCATTGGCAGGGAGGGATTGCATCTTGGCTTTCTGCAGTTGAGCTCGGATTGTGCAGTGTAGGGTAGCATCATGAGTAAGGACGCTGTTGTGGGCCTGCGGGCAGGCTTGATTCAATTCAGGGACCGAGCGCAGGGTTTTCATTCTCGTGCCGCTCACTCACCATCACATTTCATTCATCAACGCTCCCGGCTTAACTTCCGGGATCACGCCGACAGGACAACGCTGATACAAATCACCCGGCCTAGCCTCCCGACCACTCTCAGGATCATGGCGTTGAAACAGGCCCAGGTGGGCTTCCAGCTGCCCGTCGTATACAGCATCTTCTTCCTCTTCATCGAGCCGATCTCGGCCCTCGTCGGCGCCTTCTACAGCCACTTCCGCCAGGCCCGTTATCTGGAGCTCCTCAACTCAACCTCCGCGCCCCAGACGGGGGAGCCCGTCCCGCTCGGCACCTCCGTCGCCATGTCCCAGCTGGCCAACATGTACCTGTTCTTCTCCCTCAACGAGGCCTTTGTGCTCCGCGCGTCTCCGGACATCCGCATCTGGAGGGCGGTTCTTCTGGTACTCCTGATTGCGGATGTCGGTCACCTCTACTCCATGAAGGATCTGGGTTTCCAAATCTACTACGATGTCGGCAGCTGGAACGCGGCGGACTGGGGGAATGTTCCGTGGGTGTACATGGGCGCCGTTCTGCGCTTGTGCTTTCTAGGGGGAGTCGGTCTTGGAAAGGGGAAAACCTTGAAGACTCTTTGAGCAAACGGATAGCTTAATATAAGTACATGCACACATCACCTCTCCGGCCCGGAAGAGTTTCGATCCCGGACGGACGTTTCGCCGATCATCAAGTGCAGCTCCCGCCCTTGGATGTCTGGGTAGCCCGCATCTGGGAATGCAGACTCTCCATTCGGCATGGGCAGAGACAAGAAGTTTCCTCAACGCCATGTGACATGAGGCAACTGATCCCGTTCCTTGGGTCCAGAGAGATGGTCTGGAGGCAGTTCGGCATACCTGATCTGGATTCCCGCTCCTTCAGCCATCTCTAGCAGAAAGAACGAATAATGGAGGGGCAGCTAAGCTCAACAACTTATCAAGAAGAACTGCTCGTTATATCAGCCCTGAAGTCAACGTCGGAGAATATGCGAGTCGTACGACGATTCTGTTTGGTGGAAAAACCACCGAGAAAACTATGGAGTCCAACCGGGCTTACAGTCCCGATACGACCCCACCACTTCAGAATTCTCCAATCCTGGGCGGCCCGCCCGGTCGTCTTCTCTCATAGAATCTGTGTAGTTCCACGTGCCTTACCTTAGCAGACGAGACGGGCACTTGGAGAACCCCACCACCTCAGAATGCTTCACTCTCAGGCGGCCCGCCCCTCGGTATTCTCTCGCTATTCAATGTCGATGAGAACGCACCTGGGGAGACCGAAGGATGCGGAGAGTGGCAGCAGATAGCGCGCTTGCTCGCCCGGGGCCCCCTCATTTGTCTCTTTCAACGCAACGAGGCCCAATGTGGGCGACGGTTGGATGCCCCTCATCATGGTGGGGGTTCGTTTGGTGTTGTGACCCCATCTCCTCTTTTCCGTGGTGCTGAGCTCGTCGAGCTGTCTCGTCCACGTAAATATCCCGTCGTCTGCACTCTCGTGGGATATTTCTTTCCTCCTCTTTCTCTCGTAAGGTCCTCTCGTGCACCCAATTCGCTTGTAGACCCCAGTACCCAAGATACCCCCCTGGCCCCATTGACCTACACTCCCCGCCATGTCTTATCCCGAGAAGTTTACGGGCTTCCAAGCGCCAAGCGCTGAGAAGTACCTTGAGTTTGAGAAGAACTCTTGGGCTCCCCGTCCGTTCGGTGACTATGATGTCGATATCCAGATTGAAGCCTGCGGAGTCTGCGCCAGTGATCGACACAAGATCAATGGCGATTGGGGTGACTCCCCCTACCCTCTCGCCGTCGGCCACGAGGTCGTCGGCAAGGTCCTCAAGGTCGGACCCAAGGTGACGCTCGCCAAGGTCGGCCAGCGTGTCGGTGTCGGCGCCCAGGTCTACTCCTGCCTGACCTGCCGCCAGTGCAAGAACGAGAATGAGACGTACTGCAAGCAACAGATTGACGCCTATGGCGCTCCCTACCTCGACACTGGCTTCATCACCCAGGGAGGATACTCATCCCACACTCGCATCCACGAGTACTGGTAATTGCTGCCTCCCCCAATAATGCATGTCGTACTCCAGCTAACACCGAGAAAAAGGGTCTACCCCATCCCCGAGTCGCTATCCAGCGCCAACGCCGCCCCCATGCTGTGCGCCGGAATCACCCTGTTCAGCCCCCTCAAGCGATTCGGAGCCGGCCCCGGCAAGAAGGTCGGCATCGTGGGCATCGGCGGCCTGGGCCACTACGGCATCATCTTCGGCAAGGCCCTGGGCGCCGAGGTCTGGGCCATCTCGCGCACGCGGGCCAAGGAGGCCGACGCCCTCAAGATGGGCGCCGACGGCTTCATCGCCACCAACGAGGAGGGCTGGGCCAAGCCGCACAACATGACCTTTGACCTCATCATCAACACGGCCAACTCGTTCGACGGGTTCGAGCTGAGCAACTACCTGAGCATGCTCGACATCCACGGCCGCTGGAACTCGGTCGGCCTCCCCGGCGGCGGCATCAGCGTCCGCAACCAGGACTTCATTGACAACGGGTGCTTCATCGGCGCGTCCCACCTCGGCAGCCGCAAGGAGATGCTCGAGATGTTCGACCTGGTCGCCGAGAAGGGGCTCGAGTCGTGGGTGGAGGAGATTCCCATCTCCAAGGAGGGGCTGCAGCTGGCCATGAACAACCTTGGAGAGAGCAAGGTCCGCTACAGGTCGTGCATGGTGGGATATGACAAGGCGTTCGGGGCATGAGGAGTAGATGAGGGAATGGATGGGCAGAATGGCACAATCACGGGGGCACCTTGATGGGCAACATCCTGCTCCATATAACACGTGATCCAGCTTTCAGGCTCATGGTGTTGCATGTGCCTAGTTAAAAAAATTACTTTGAATGAAAATATATCCCAAATGCATACTTTGTAATGTGTCTTGCGATCATTTACCTGAAAGGTAAGCCAAGAGTTTGTACAGCCAAAGCAGACTGGACCCAACGAGGGGTAGTAGTTGTTTATTGAATCAGACTCAACCATAAGTGAACTAGCAGTTTGTAGCATTTTGGTGCTTGGTTTATGACTCTTTCTCTCTCTCTCTCTCTCTCTTTCTTTTCTTTCTCTCTTTATTCTTTTGCATTTGTCACTGGTGCAAAGGTTGACTGTGACTCCCATCCGGTGCGTCACCTCCTCTGCCCCCAGTAGGTAGTTCAGAGGATTGGGGCTGAGTTAGCTGCGCATACAAATTTCTAAACGAACAAAAACATGACCAACTTTCAAATCCAACTCCTCTCGGCGACTCCCGTTGTTGGAGTCGAAATCTACGTTTTATTCAACCTGGGGGAAGTTGCGAATGGCGGATGAGTCATGCCGGGTTTGTTAGATGTCACATTTAGTTTCATGCATCACCATCTCCACATTGTTGGTAGTGTCAACAATGGCGACTTCCAACCTCGGAAGCGAGTCTTGGAACAATGCCGATGATTACGAGCCCGGAGCTGAGCTTCATACTCGTGCCGTCAAATTTCTGGACGCGATCAACTGGGAGGCATTGACTTCCCTCGCATCGGAGCTACGCGATGGCACTCCTTGTCGGATCGAGCAGCCATATTCTATTGGACATTTCAACATGGTTCGCAGAATCATCTTCAAAGACTATGTCAGTTGGGTTGCAAGACTGCGGATGCCCGATCTTGATGCCGTTTTTGGCTCGCGGGAAAGCCTCGATCCTACGAGCTTGATGCGGGTGGAAGTCGCGACAATGAAGTATCTAAGGTATCAAGGAAAGTGTCCCTTTGGATAACGTTTTCCTAATTCTGCAAGCCGCAAAACGAGTATTCCGGTACCCGAGGTTTACCATTGTGACTATAGCCGGGACAACAGTATTGGTGCGCCTTTTATCATGATGAGCTACATCCATGGTAATGCGGCAAGTGAGCTACGACTTCAAAAAGACTGCCCGTCTAGGCTGTTCGGTACGCCGGAGCAAGACAAAGAATTTCGACGACAGATGGCCGACATCCAGGTACAATTGGCTGCGATTCAGTTCGATCGCATCGGTTCTCTTTACGAGGATGGCGATGGTTTCACCATAGGTCCAGAACCAGAGACTGGTGATGGGCCGTGGGATACCGCCGCCGACTACTATAGGAGCTGGGTGCGTCATCTTGTCGACGTTGCTGAGCGGGATGCCGACCCGGAGATGAAGAAGAGGCCATCGTTCAACTTGCCTCAGTCATTCCTCCCTCTGATGCATCAGTATAGCATCGACCTGACGAGCCGCGGCCCATTAAGGCTGGCCAATCGCGACTTTGGTGCTCACAACGTGCTGGTTGACGACAATTTCAACATTATTGGGCTCATCGATTTGGATGGTGTCATGGCAGCACCAATCGACTTGGTTGCTCATTTCCCTACCCTCACAGGCCTAGATAGAGAGGTCCCCGGGCACAAAGAGACAAACCCAGCTGCCATCGAACGCATAGTGGCTACCAGGCCGCTGATTGCCGATTACCAACGCTTGTTGGCGTCATCTCAGCAGCAGTCTGTTTCAGAAGATGAAGGTGCTGCCGGAGCTGTTCTCGCCGACCGGATCACATCAGACGGCGCCACCATTGTCTATGGTCTGTCAAGATTCGCGGGGCATCAGGGTTTCGTGAACGATAAATGGATGGGTGTTTTTGAAAGATACATGCGCAGAAAGGCATTGGACAGCGACGCAGCTTCATAAGTGCATCGGTCTATTTCCCAAGTCTGCGATTAATTTGTAAGAAGCACGACACTTCTGCGATTAGACTGGCCATTTGTCAGCAACGCTGTGTCATCATGTATCTGACAAAAGCGTTTATTTGTAGGTATTTAGCTTGAATTGGCGTTGAGGCATTTTGTGGCTAACAGTCGAAACCCATGCTGCCAATAGTAGCATACAACATGAAGCTGGCAGTCTGTCCCTGATGACGGAGAACTTGCCGAAAAGGCTTTGAATCACCGTAGACGATAGATAGTTAGCAGCTCAGACAACTGCAGAACAGGGGTCAGCCTCGAGTGCGGAAGATGCCTGCTGGTGACTGGTAAGAGAATGTTCAAACTAGCAGGGCTGTTCAACCGCCCTGCCTAAATAGTGATCCAGTTCACGCGTGATTCACGGTGCTGCCTCGTACAATGGCCTCACTGGCAAGGCACATGGACGCTTCGCCTTTCTCTATGAGGTAAAATGCATCGACAGCTTACTTGGGCAACCCGTGTTAATTGATTGGACCCCTCCTCAGTCTCGCAACCAGCAGCTCCACCGAACAGGCTCTTGTCCGGTGGGTGCTCTACCGATTCTGCACCAGGCCATGTGGGTGTGCATCCTGCGCTTACCTGGATCGAGCTGGCCGAGAGTCTCGCTTCTGGGCGGCCGGCCAGTGACTCCTCGCTTCCCCTCCAGCTTGGCCCCGGCTTAGGAAGCAAGCTGATGACTCAAGCAGGGCGAGCTGAACAGTCAATCACGCAAAGCTAACCCCTCGAGATGTGACTGACAAACCTCGTTGCCGCCGTATTATAAACCGAATAGCCTCCCCGGGAAGTAGAAAATGGCTGACCTACCCACTATACTACCACCTCTTCCCCCCCTTGTACCCAATCATCTGGCCCTTAAGCTTATTGTTCTTCCTTGTTCCCTGCTCGGATCTGCTCCCCACATCTTGATACCTGATATTGCCAAACCCGACTTACACGCTGCATACAAACTACGTACGTTGAATCTAAGTAGAGATCATAGAAAGACAAGTTGCTGATAGGCAATTCAAAAGAAAATCAAACCACCTCAGTCCAATAAATCGGTGTAAAGTGCCGTAGCGGTTGCCCAATGGACCGGCTGTCCCTCTCCCTCCGGTGCCGCCAGGCCTGCGCCCGCTCCGAGATCACCCACATCGGCCTGACCGACACGGCCGCCCTCGCCGTCTACGTCTCCCCCCCGCCCGCCTCCCTCTCCTGGGTCGACACCTTCTCCCTCACCCGCAAGCCCGGCAAGCTCGCCTCCCTCTCCAAGAGCTCCGGCTCCTACGGCGCCTTCCCCCCTTCCTCTGCCGTAGGTAGTAGCAGCAGCACCGTCTACGCCGCCCTCAAGGACTGGACCATCCGCGTCTCGGGCGGCATCGAGTACTGCCACTCCAGCTCCGTCCTCATCCGCGACCTCGACTCGGGCAAGACCCTCCTCGAGCTCAAGGACGCCGGCCGCGCCCCCATCGCCTGGAGCCGCGACGCCCGCCTCGTCGCCGCGGGGGAGGCCAACAACCCCGAGCGCATGGGCATCTGGGACGCCAGGACGGGCAGCAGAGTCGGACGGGTAATCTCCCACATCGACGCCGTCACCCACGCCGCCTTCGCCACTTCTGACGTCGGCTCCGGTAATCTCGTCACCCTCTCCCGCGACGGCACTCTGAGGCTCACCGACCCCTCCACCTCCCGCACCGTCGCCCGCCTCGAGCTCGCCTCCCGCAACCCGCGCGCCCTCGCCGTCGCCCCCCACGGCAACACCATCGTCTCCGTCTGGGACTCGTCCCTCTACGTCTGGCTGCCCCGCTCGGGGGACCTGACCTCGTACGCTTTGTCCGCCACGCGCCAGGCAGAGGGCTGGCCCCTCGCCATCTCCCCGGACTGCCGGTACGTCGCCTGCCGCACCGAGGAGGGGTTCGACCTCATGGAGGTGTCGTCGGGGGTCGTCGTCTTCGCCATGGCTACCGAGGCCATCGTCACTGCTGCCGCTTTCTCTTCCGATTCTTCTGTTTTGCTTCTTGGGAGGATGGACGGCGTTCTCGAGCTTTGGGATATTTCTGAAAAGGGCTCAAACTAATAATACTGTAAGATGCTAGGTAATGAGATTGTTAAGCGTTAAGGTTAGGAAAAGCGAAAGGGGGAGGCATGGTACATTCAATTCAACATATACCACTATTAAAAACATATATTTAAGTTAGGAACTATTCTTATGATGGAACGAAGATAATGGAACAAAAATAATGGGACGAAGATAAAGGATCATATAGCAGTACGGATTTGCTGGCAAATTAATTTACATAAGCAAGGCTGTGGCGCAACATAAACACATCATGTTTATTTACACTTTGAATCCGTCATCAATACGTCTCTGTTCACCGGAATGCTGGGTATTTTATCGCAAAATGAAAACGACCGACATACGCCCCCCAAATGCCCCAATTCCAACCCAACTCTGTCTCATACAAATGTGGCTCCTATACAGCCGCAACATTCCAACATCTCCGTAGCTCCGCTCGCTCGCTGTCGTAAATAAACGCTCCTGGTATCCTGCTCCGAAAAAGAATTTGCTTGCCTATCCTCCACTGCAATACAACAACCAAATGGAAACGACCGCATTATATACTTTTGTTGTTATCAAGACATGTACCGTCCTGAGGGAAACGACAACTGCTATGTTCATATGTAACTCTCACCATCTTTACAAACCCCAACCGAGCATCTCGAGGGTGCCCCTCGCCTCGGAAGCGGACATGCCGCTCACGCCCATGGAGCGGGCCATGGTACCCTTCTTCAACCTCTGAAGGCCTACCGACAACTTCCAGCTCTCCTCCTCATCAACCACAAACAGGTATCTCTTACCCTCTTGATCACGCATCGTTGCGCGTAGCACATGCAAGCCCTTGGCCTTCCACTCCCCGGTCTGTCCAGTCGAAGATGGGATGTTAGTATCTTTAAAATTTCGTTCGCAAAGTCCAAGGCGACAGCACTCACTGCACGCGCGCAGCATCTCGGACAGATAAGCGTCGGCCTCCTCGCCGTGAAGCGTCTTGGTGGCGCCTCTGTCCGTTTTGCGCGCGCGTGAGTTGGCTAGTTTATTGAGCAAATCAGGGGGATAATTCGAAGAAGCAAACGAAGCAGTGGATGAAGCAGATGATGATGACGCATTTAAACAGTGCTGGGGGCACCATACCTCGACGGACTTGAGAGTCCAGGCCTTTACGTCCCACTCTCGTTGTGGGACGCCTCGGACATCGTCATCGATGAAGAGACCTTCGGTTGTGATACGCAGGATCAGGCCGTCTGTGACGGTTCCCACTCCCGAGACCAGTTGGCTGGCTGGTGTTTTGGAAAACTGATTCATAAATAGGTAGACCGCAGATATCACAATCTTATCTGGGTCTTTGGTTGTGTACGGGCCTCTCATCGACGGCGGTGGCGATGTTCGACTGGTTGTGTGGGATTGCGCCCACGATGATTCGGATCCGGTGAATGAAGACATGGAGTTTTTCCTCGCTGGCTTCTTTTGGTCATAAGGCCTATAAGAGTGCCCATCGCCACTCACATTTGACTTGGCCGCTGAGGGGGCCGGTTTCGTGTCCTGAGCGGATGTCGTGGTCTTCCGTGCCGTGGAAGCAGAAGTCGTTGATGCTGGGGCGGGAGGTCGTCCGTTCGGCCACATGCTAATCTTCTCACCTACCCCGGAGAAAGCGTAGCTGCCGCCTCGTCGAGTTGACCTGGCCTCTTCCGCCTCGGCCTCCCTCTTCTTGGCTTCCTCCTCTTCCTTCTTCTTGGCCTCCTCTTTCTTCTTGGCCTCTTCCGCCCTCTTCCTGGCTTCTTCCAGTCTCCTCTTGGCCTCCTCCGCCTCTCTCTTTCTGGCCTCTTCCACCTCCTTTTTCCTAGCTTCCTCCTTCTTCTTGGCCTCCTCTGCTTCTTTAGCAGCTTTCTGAAGACGTTCTTTTCGCTCCCTCTCTAGCTTCTCGAGCAATTCCTTGGCCCTCAACTCTGCCGCCTGTTTCTCTTTGGCCTCCTGAGCCTGCTTTTCACGGCGTTGCCTTTCTTCTTCTCGAAGCTGACGCTCTTTTGCTTCCCTAGCACGAAGCTCAGCCAGTCGTTTGGCTGCATCCTCGCGGCGCTTCTGTTCAGCCTCCTTGGCCTTCCGCTCCTCTTCCTTCTTGCGGATCTCCTCACGTGCCTTCTCCCATGATGCTTTGACGTCCTCACGAGTCCTCTCCCAGGCCATCTTGGCCTTCTCCTCCCTCGTCGGGGGAGATTTAGGTTCAGGCTTGGGTGGATCTGGCTTGGGCTTCTCTTCCTTGGGTGTGGGTGTGGGCGCGGGTGCTGGGGCTGGAGCTGGAGCTGGGGCTGGAGCTGGGGCTTGTGCTGGTTCTGGTTTAGGAGGCGGCGGTGCCTTCTTGGGTGGTGGCGGCTCCTCCCGAGGAGGGGGTGGTGCTTCTGCCTTCGGTACTGGCACTGACTCTGGTTCTGGCTCTGGCGGTGGCTCTGCTTTTGGAGGAGGTTGCGGTTCGGGTTCAGGAGGTGGAGGCGGTGGCTCTTTTCGAGGTGGTGGTGGCTCTGTTCTCGGGGGAGTGGGTGGTTGTGGAGGTGGCTCTTCCCTCGGAGGAGGGTTTGCCTTTGGTGGTGGCTCTGTCCTCGGCGATGGCTCTGCCTTGGGGGCTGGTTTTGACTTGCGAGACTCTGCTCTTGGAGGGGTTTCTGTCCTTGAAGTTGGCTCGTGATGCGAGTGGCGTTCTTTCCTAGACTCTTTCCTCGACTCTTTCTTGGGAGGAGGAGCTGGGGGAGGAGATGGCGAACGCCTTCGACGTGACTGTCGAGTAGGGGATGGTGAGCGCCGTCGACTTGACGTTCGAGGAGGAGATGGTGAACGCCGTCGAGGAGGAGGTCGAGGCGGAGGCGGAGGGGACTCTGGAGGAGTTTGTGGGCCAGCATGATTATATCGTGGTCCACTATCACGACGGCCATCATGGCTCTGATAGCTCCCACTATGCCGGCTGCTGCCATGAGGAGGAGGGGGAGGAGGGGCGCCGCCACGATTGTGTCCGTGAGGCGGTGGCGGCGGAGGGGGGCTGTCATCTTGAGGAGGAGGCGCACCCGGGGGATATGGACCCCGGAAGCCAGAGCCTCCGGGGCCGCCGAAACCTCCTCCGTTGAAGCCTCCTGGTCCTCCGCCGTTTCCGTTGAAGCCTCCTTGGCCACCTGCCTGACCACTCGATGTGCTTGGCCCATAGAAGAACTTGGACCTGTCCGTCTGTGTCCTACCCAGCGACCAGGCCCCGAACCCAATGCCCAGCATCAACATCGCCATACCCACGTTGCCGAGACCCTGAAAGCTTTCCCACCAAGTCCTAAAGGCGGGAGCCATGCTTTGGCCAACGACAACCAGTATCAGAGCGGAGGCAAACCCGGCAATAAAACTGTTGGCGTTTGGCTGCAGCGATGGGAGGTACAGAAACCCAGATCCAGCTGAGTGTTCTGGGATCACGAAGATGTCATATTTCCCAGGGGGCAGCCCCGAAGACCTGGGCACTCCCCCATGTGGCGGCGGGGGAGGAGGTGGTCCGTCCATTGTGACCCTTCAGCCCTCCAGGACCGAGGAAGTATTCTCAAAAATCCCAAGGGTCGACTCGTATCGTATATCGCCGGGCCGGTCTAGGAACGCATCGGGGACGCCATGGGCGGTCGTCAAGTCTGTGAGAGAGTCTTGATCAGGGTCAGTATCCGGGATTATGAAGAGCTGTTGGCATGGCTGAGGCTGGGTCCTGGTCAGGCAATAGGGGGTGCAGCCAAGTGAATAACGCACAATGCGGAGGACACAAGTAGAGCTGGATGTACAGCTCGGAACACCGACAACAAACACCGGGAGTCGGGTTGAATTTGGAAAAAGTCTGTTAAGGGTTCTCAACCGTTGACAGGCGGCGTTGCTAGTCAGGGGATTGCTGGAGGGATAGCAACTGGAACGTTGCGTCTGGAAGATCTGGGCTGGCCGTTGTGGAAAGTGGAATGGGGGAAAAAAAGGCTCGAGGGGTGAGGGAAGCTGTCCCGTCTTGTTTACTTGGTGCGAGGCAACAACACAGCGCTGGGTGGCTCGGGGCCAGGTAGGCTCCCCACCAATTGCTGTTCTAGTGGCCGCTATGCAGCTTCCCCGTAGGCGGGCTCCAGTTAATTAAGGCCAGCTAGGGCGCTATTGGCTGTGCAGCGTGCTGGAGAAGGGGCCAAAGGGGCCCATGCGCTCATTTGACCACTGAGCTGGTGTAATGGAGGGGCGGGTTCATGTGGGCGCACCGCCTCTGAGGCACCTCGGCGCGTGGCAGATTCCTCATCTCGCCGGCTGAGGCTTTGACAGGTACAGACATGCTGTGCGACCAAGCCACCGGCGTAGGGCTTGACCATGACCGCGGTCTTCTATCACAAAATTCTGGAGTTTCCATCCGACCCGGGACATACGGGTGGAAGTGGTTCTATTACATACAGGTAGTAGCGCTGTAAAAGACCCTGACCCTCCGGTTCGTAGGGACAATTAGGAGGGAGGGATGTGCCTGGCAGTTGAGAGCTCAAGCGAGACGGTGAGACAACGGCGCTTGCCAAAAAACCGGGAGTCCCACACTGCAGCCTTTTGTGCCGCAGCAGCGCAGCAGCCCCTTTTAAAATCAACGCTTCACCAAACATCCATTGGTGCGTTGAGACCAAGTTTAATTCTATCATCGAAATTGAAGAAAGTGAACTCACATACCAACTTAGATAAAATGTGCTCGCTAATTTCGTAAAGTTACAATAATCCAGCGGCCGGATTCTTATGGAACAGCTGGCTTTTGGACTTCCTCCAATTTACGCAGTACTGCTCTCATAGTCTGGTGTTTCATGGTTTGTGACATGTTACCCTATCAAGCTCTCTTTCGTACCTACGAATGTTCTCATTAAGCCATGCTTTGGCCAAAAGGGATCACCAGGCCGGTATTTATACATCTGGACACCAAGCCTCCCCACGGCCAGTTCACCCAAACGACGACTCGAATTGAGCCTAACATGGCTTTAATTCCAAGAATTTCCACAGCTCTTATT